GATCTTCCCAATGTTTAGTTCCAGAGTAGATAAGATTATAGGCACAAGCCATCATGCCTTAGACTATGTAATAACTGCCCTTTTAGATAGCTTTCAGTTTACAGAAAAGTTGCCAAAATCACATAAGAAGTTCATAACCCATTATCCAGCTTCCTTTAATATTGATATTTTGCATCCTTAGGGGCCCAATTTTCAAAATTAAGAAATTAACATCAGTCCACTGCTCAGCTAAATTATAGACTTTGTTGAGATTTTACCAGTGTCTCAATGTCCTTTATCTCCTGAAAGACCAATTCCAGGCACTTACTCACCTTGCCTCTTTAGCCTCTTCAAATATTTTCTGTCATTCATTGCCTTGCTGACTTTGAACAGTACTAGTCACAGGTTTTGTAGAACTCCCCATACTTTGGGTTTATCTGATATTTTCCCATGGTTAGATTGAGGTTAAGCATTCCAGGGATGAATGCCATAGCCTTTTTTTAGCCCTTCTTGGTAGCTCCTTCCATGAACTACATGCTCTGCCTACTGTTGAAGTTAAACTTTATTGATTGGGAAAATGCCCCTTGTCCATTAATAAGTAATATGGGGATACAATTTAAGATTATGCAAATAACCTTTTCCCCCCTCAACTTTTTCCCCCTGATGATCTATTCATTGGTGTATCTTACCTGTAAACTTATTGCACTGTTTAAATGAAGTGGTCTTTTCTTTCAGACTTCCCTCATTTATTAATTGAGATTTTTGTAATAAAATTCTCTATCTTCACTATTTGTTTATTCAGTTAGATTTTTTGTGATCATTGTGGATATTTATTTTACTTCATGGGCTTTATTATCCAATAACTGCTTATATTTGTTTTGATGTTTAACTTAAAACATTGTTAAAAAGTACTTAGGCCTAGAACATATCCAGATGATTTAGAACAGAATCTGCAAGGATTTCATGCTCACAATAGCATTTATTTAAACTCTTGCATACAAAGTGAAAAAAAGGGTAGGAACTGATTGGAATCCATAGGTGAACAGGTGGAGATGTAACTGAAATCTCCTTACCCTGTATAACTGATATAAACCAATTTTAAGTGATGCCTATGTAGTGTACAGGTTAGTTCTTCCACTCTTCCCAATTTCCATCTCTCAGGAATAAAACAAAAATCCTCCTTTGAATTGTTCTTCATAACTTGTTTCCACATGAGCTCTCCCAGTTCTGATGGCAGGTTGCAGTCATAGGGGAAATGGTTGTGTGACCACTTCCCTATTGTTCCCAGACCATTTTCCTGTCCTTCAGCTTCCCTTGGCTCCAAAAATAAACTTGAGCACAAGAATCCCTTTTATGACAGTCTACATGTGGGAATATGCTGATTTTTTTCATAAGGCAGTGAAAATGAAAATGCTATTCTTTGTTTAAGACTTTAGAATTAAGGAATAACCTGAAGAATTATGACTCTAAGCTAGAAAGGGCTTTTTAGATGGAAAGTAGATGGCTGCTGAGGGCAGACTTACAGTCCAGCAAGCTATCCCTTCTCTACCCCAGTTATGCCTCCCAAGTCTCATGAAGCACATTCCCACTGTTTGGACAGAATGTTAAAGTATGGAAACCACTCTCACTTCCATGAATGGCTTACTTAGACACCTCTGAAGCCATGGTATTGAAATGCATAAATTTAATTCCCCCTGTAGGTGATCAATATGGAGCCAGCTAAGCTTTCATTCAAAGAGATGGTCTTCCTGAATAAGGAAATTGATCCCATAGCATCCCTTAGCTGGGTTCCAATTACTCTCTGTTCCTCAGTTCCAAATCAATCTCATGATATTTTTAGAAACCTAATTGTTTCTTTAATGAGACTGATGCAATAAGATGTCCAAAACATAGATGAAACAGATTTGAACCCTGATTGAAAAGAGTAAGAGCTTAACCCCAAGCATACCATTGTGGTATGAATTTGATCCAGTTTGCTAGATTATAAAACTGCAAAGCAGTATCTCACAAGTCTCTATTCTTCTTAATCATTTTTTCTGCATAGTAGTCATTTTCCATTGGAAATGCATGTATTGTCTAAATAAAACAGACCTTTTATACCCCAGTCAGAATGCCTGTCATCATGATAACAGATGATAATATTATTGAGAATCTGGAGAAAATGAAGCATTATACACTATTGGTGGAGTATGAAACCAGTTCAGCTGCAACAGAAATCAATATGGAGTTTCTTGAAGAAACTTAATGGTACTACCATATGATTCAGCTCTACCACTTCTGAACTTATACCCGAAGGAATGTAAATCCACATGCAGTAGAGATAATTCAGTGTTGGTGTGTAATGTAGCACCATTCATAATTACCAAATCAGCTCAGGAGGGCATCAACACATGGATGAGTAAGGACAATTTGATTGATAGATTTATAGGTAGGTAATTAGGTAAATAGACAGATATAGAGATATATGGAGAAAGATAGATATATGTAGATAAACACATACAAATGCAGTTTTATTTATACAGAAGAATGAAATTATGTTATTTACAGGAAAAAGTGAAGCTGGAGATCATATTAAGTGAAATTAATCTAGCATATAAATTGTCTCAGATACAATACCCAGATTATTTTTAAAAAGCATGAAGCCAAAGAGAGACCTTTGAGGAGCAATGGGAGAAGGATGGAAAAAGAGATGGTGATGGAGGAATAAATATGATTGAAGAATATTATATGTAAGCATGACATGTCATAATGAAACCCATTATATTTTACTATTAATGAAAAAGGAAAATAGGAAAGAAAATGCCTTCTACTAAAATTTTAAAGGTAATCCGGGTGCCAGTGGCTCATGTCTATAATCCTAGCTACTCAGGAAGCCAGCCCAGGCAAGAAACTCTCTGAGACTCTTATCTCCAATAAACCACTCAGAAAACCAGAAGTGGTGCTGTGGCTCAAGTGGTAGAGCACTCACCTTGAGCTGAAAGGCTGAGGGACAGCGCCCATGGCCAGAGTTCAAGCCCCACAACCGAACAAAATAAAAAATTTAAAGGCATTCCGATTTCTAGGGTAAGGTAAATCTATGAAATCTACCATAAGTAGAGAGTAAAGAATCAAGATTCCCTGAGCAACATGTATACCCAGTTTAAGCATATTAGAGATGAAGAGTTCATTCAGAACAGTATACAAGCAAAGATGAGAAATGTTTAGATGCTGCATGACAAAAATAAATCTCTCTTCCTGGAAGAACTTTAACCCAAGAGGAGAAACAGCTCAAAGGTTTATTGTTGTCAGAGCCACAAACTCGACACCTCTCTTGATAAAAGACTTCGATCCCTGACCCCAGTATAGTTGCTACTCTAAAAGCCATTTGTGTATTGATTGCCTCTGAAGAAAACGAATAGGTGGGTTGCAGGATGAGCATCTTTGGGAAGCCATGCTTCTGTATGCAGAGAAGAGCCCAAAGAGTGGAGTGGACCCTGGCCTCAAGCTCTGAAAGACCACTTGCAAGAAGTTGGTTAGCTTGGTTCTATTGTCCTTCAGGCTTTTGCAACAAGGCCTGTGAGTAAATGTAGCTAAAACTAGGAATGTCTGCCTGATTGGAAATGTTTAGTAACTCTTCAACAAGGGTACCTGCCCCTTCTCTGTGTTACATCTAGGCATACCAACCACCTTGAAGACAATAAGCCAGTGATTCTTATTTGAGATTGAGAGGGGGGAGGTAAAGCCAAAAACAAGCTAAGTCTGTCAAGCTACCCACCAAATATTGAAGATACAGAATTTCTGGACCAACAGACTCTAGATTTAATAGATGGATTATTTAGAGCAACATCAGGAAAAGTTGTCATCTTGTTTGTCGTCTATCTTCCTTTTTCTCCCACAGAATCAAACTAGTATAACCAGCTTTCCATATGTGGAGGAGACAGTATCTTTAGAAGTTTGCTTGTCAGCTACTGACTCTGTATAAAGTTCTTTGAGCAACAGAACTTTAAGATTTATTGAATCCCTACTAAGCCCTGCTATGGAAGTAAAACAAATCCCTGCCTTCAGTGCAGAAAATAAGGAGGTAAACAAATAACAATACCAATTACAAAGGGAGATTTGTGCTATAAGGAAAAAAGAAGTGAGAAAAGAAAATGAAGGAGAGTGAGATGGAGTGATGGCATGAGAAACACATCGGGTAAGGTTTCTGATGAGGACACATTTCAGTGGTAAGAATTAATGAACTCATGGGGAGAATATTCCAGACAGGTGATGATCTCAAATGCTCAGTCTTTACGGGAGAGACAAGGTTGGGAGAAATGACAGAAAATCTAGCAAGGCTTGCATAGATTGGCCAAGGCCAATCTGTGGGTTAAAAGAAGATTCAGCACAGCCAGATCATGGAACATTCTAAAATCAGGCTTATTCCATCATCGGAAGTCTTTGGGGTGGTTGGAGTGTTCTATTAGGGAAAAGGGATGATCTGGAGGTTTTGTTTGTTTTGTTTTACAAATCTCTCTATATTGACTTTTACTACAGTGACTGTTTACAGGTGAGAGTGGAAATAAATGATGGGACAAATGGTAATCTAATTCAGCAGTGATACTCAATAGACACTATGTTGGAAGTAGACTATACAATTTAGGGGGAGGGAGTAAAGAGGGAAGAACTAAGAGGAAAAGAGGGAGGGGTGACACTGTTCAAAAAGAAATGTACTCATTACCTGACTTACATAACTGTTACTTCTGTACATCACCTTTACAATAAAAAGGAACTATAATTTTAACCATAAATACATAGTGCTAAATCCTAGAAGCCTAAATGTTCAATAGCACATTTATTTCTGCATTTGGTACCAATGGTGACTGAATATTTCACAACCACAAAACCTCTGCACTTTCTTGTTGCTTAAACATCAGAAAAACCATTCATTTGACTAGAAAATATCATCTGTGCTTATTATCTTATTAAAGATAATATCTTGCATGAATCAATGAGAAAAAATAATTGTTTTTGCTTTAATCAGCTTATCTTCCTTCCTACAGGGATCCTAATCATCCTTCAGTACCTTATCATTATTATGAACCTTTTGGACCTGATGAATGTACCATGTACCTCTCCCATGAGCGAGGACGCAAGGGCAGTCATCATCGCTTCATCACAGAGAAACGAGTGTTCAAGAACTGGGCACGGACATTCAATATTCATTTTTTTCAACCAGACTGGAAACCGGAATCATCTGTTGTAAATCATCCTCAGAATAAAGCTGTGTTCTGAGGAATGAGCATGCCAGACTGTGACCCCAGCTACACACGGTATCAGACACAGGCTGCTAAACTTTCTTGAGCCATCAGAGAGAAAAAGAGAACAGAACAACTTTCAGAAAACAAGCTCCCTCCTTCAGCACCCTGGACAGAGGTTGGGTAGCTGGTTTGTAGCAACAAATTCTACAATTAGTACATTGTAACGAGTGTTTGTAACCTTTGAAAGATGTCGCCTTAGAGACTGAACATTCATTTCAGTGATGCTGCCATGGCTGAAACATTTTGAGTCTCTTTAAATACTGCCTTCAAACCCAAAACATAAGCAACTCCACAACATTGGTTGCATTCCTTTATAGAAATATCAATTACAAGAGACACTTTTCTATCAAGTTGTATTCTAACTTGACCTATAACTTTTGTCACTTATTAGACTCTGTGTGATTTGTACAAAGCAGCTTGAAAGTGTGGACGTGATTTCTGAAGAGCACATCTTCACTGACTTTCATAAAGTAAATGTCTAATATTTATTTATTGAGAGTTTTTTAGTGTACTCTAGGCCAGTATTTTTATAGATTATGATTATGTGGTAATTTATTCTTTCTAACTCTTTATTCCTTGATGATGGTTGGAATCGGCCTAGAACTGGGTTGATGAGTTACAGTGTTCACAATGCTCAAGGTTAGCATGCAGTTGATATTTGACATGGAAATGTTATGTTACATTTTTTGAACCCTTAGGCTTCAAGAAAATTATTCTTTTATAGCAAGAACAGCTATAACATTTTCTAATGTACACAAATGTTTCAAAAGAACAAAATTGAAAACCAAAAACTGTGTCATTAAAACAGAAAGATGCTAACAAGAGAAATCTAAGGTAGTTTTCCTTAGTAACAATTGATACAAGTAACTGCTCTTAAGCCCTAGTTTCTTCTTCAGAATGATGTTACTGTGCCCGAAAACTTCATTGGTTACAGCCCACCTTTAAAGTTCTGTAAACCTCTCACCAACCTGTCTGAGCACTTTAAGCTCCAGCACTTATAGGACATTTATTTGAGGGGAAGTCTTTAATAGTCTGTACTACTTATCTTCTCCTATCATTAAAAAATATACTTCCTTGTGGGCCCTGGTAGCTAAAACCCTTCTTTTGTTTCTCTGGACGCAACACACACACACACACACACACACACACACACACACACACACAAATATTTCTGAGATATTATCTAGCTACAGGTAAAAGGAACTGCAGTTCTGTGAGGAAAAGAGCATACATGGAGATTTTGTGTTACACAACTCATTTTCCTATGACTATTCAGACACACCCACTGCAAATGCAGTTCCTTGATCTACAAAAATATTAAGGATTCCTTTTATTGAAAGTCAAAATCAAGTTACTATAGATTTTTACTTAAATAAATAATACTGCTCAACAATAGTTTTTAAGAATATACTGTTTTCTTTACACATGGGTGAAGTGGCATTAGTTTCTCTAATTTGAAAGTATCAGCAAATATATTGAGAGAACTGATACTTATAAAACATGACATGGCTCTGATTACAGGTATAAAGCATCAGGCCTGGCTTTCCCTCTTCTTAATTAGTAAAGATTCCATTACCTTTCACCAGCTGGTACTATCAATTATAAGAGGTACCATGGATGAGATGTAAATATAATTCATACAGTCACACAATAAAAGTTAACATCTTTGTGGTATGACTTGAGCTGTTAAAAGCCACCAAACATTGGAAGGATTATCCAAAGCATACTGAAATTCATTCTTTAGGTTTTCTCATACTTTTTCCCATTTTTTAAAGTGCAAACCATCTATTTCATCATAATTCAATTTCCTTCATCCTTCCCTCTAGCCCCTTCCCCTCACACTAGCACTCACCCACAGAGAGTCTAGTTTTTAAAGGGAATATGAATTTTATTAGACCACAACCTTTTCTGCAGCATGAACTTTGAACACATGATGTTTTTTCTGAACATATGAAAAGTATATGAGTTTTCTACAATTGATTTAAAGGCTGCTTATACAATACTTAAAGTGGTGATATTGCTTAGGTGTGACTCCTTGACAACTTCTGTATTTATGGAAATTTAGAGAAGCATAGTTTCAGGGATTCAACTACATTACCTAATCTAATAATATCTCACATGTCTGTGTAACTTTTGGTCTTAGATTTTTTTTCAGAAAGAAAGACAGACAGACAGACAGACAGAAAGGAAGGAAGGAAGGAAGGAAGGAAGGAAGGAAGGAAGGAAGGAAGGAAGGAAGGAAGGAAGGAAGGAAGGAAGGAAGGAAGGAAGGAAGGAAGGAGACTATCAAGAGATTTCCAAACTTCTCCTTCTCAAATACTGAGAAATGCAACTAAATTCTAAAGGTCCTGATTCAAGTAGGAAATGTTTTAATTCATGTGTAGTAGAAAATATGTGACATCATCCCTTGGGTAGTGGTTTTATTGCAGCATTAAAGAAAATGCCTAGAACTCTGATGGATTGTGCTGATGGACCTGGTTGTGGGCAATTGAGTTCTTGTCATGCAACTATCATTTCATGACTGTCAAACTTAACACCATTCAACACCATTAAACATAAACTCTGATATAAAAGATGACTACAAAATCATGTTTACAGACCTCAGTGATTCTATTGCATTTGAAGCCCAAGACATACTTGTTATGTTATGTCGCTTTTTCTTGTCTCCCTTGCAGTATCATCAGCCTCCTCCTAGCTTTTAAGACCACAGTAATACAATGCCACAGCTGGCCGATCCATGGCTTCTGTTATTTCAACGCAAGAACATTTGGCAGAGGCCATTACAATAGATAGCCATTATGGGCAAAGATATAGGAATTCACAAACAAAATCAATCACTTCAAATGGCCCATAAAAAGAAGAATCTCACATTTAATATTCTACAGTAAATATTCACCCAAGAAAGCGTACATTAAAAGAACATTAGGAGGTAAATATTCAGTGTGCTGCGTGGGGACTTAGCTGTGTGATTTCCATTACTGTTAATGGGTGTTTGGCATCTAAGTCCCTGTGCTTCACTAACCCTGATCTGCACTCCTGAGGGCTAGATATAAAACCAGAACAATTCAGGATCTCCAAGTTTCTAAGGTTTCAGAGTTCAATGTTTTCTTCAAGAAAGGAAACAAAAGTAAAACAGGCAGTGTTATACCTTAAAGAAGCATTTGTTCACTCTCTTAGAACCTTTAGGCTGATATCCAATTTGTGTATCAGCGTTCAAATGTCCCCTCTCTACACAGACTTCCTTTGTTTACTGGAAGTACTTTCTATTACTGATCTATTTGAATTGCATGTGAATAAAGGGAAATAATTTGATTTTGAAATAGTCACCTCTCCCCCAAATTAAAATTACTGATTTAGAAGTTAAATGAGTACTTGGCAAATATGAAAAGTTGAAATTCTGTTAAGACAATGCTATTTAAGCACATATTAATGCTCAGTACTTGCACAAGTATTTGCCCTTGTGTAAGAGAGATCTTATTGCAGAAATATATCCTAGATTCCATCACAGTGGTGATTCAGGTTGTTAAATAGAGCTACTCTGAGAGAAAGTTCATATTCCTATTCTGTTCTACAATTCATATTGAACCAACCATTTTCTCTGCCCTTGTGGATTCTCTCTTGATCTTTGCCTTCTCCATTCTCTCCAGATTCACTTCTAACTTCAGTGTGCTCTCAAGTCTGCAGTCTTTGGGGCTAGTAAAGCCTTCCATGTAAATTTTAACTAGAGACCTAGCTGGTGAATGGATTGAGGGTAGGTCCTGACAGAGTTAGGACTAACGTAGGTGGGAGGAGTTCACCTGGATAGAGGATAAGGTACTTCAGAGGTGATCTCCAGTGTTTCCCAGGGCTGGTGAAGAAGACAGATCCAAAATACAGGCTTCCAGTACTAAAACTAAAGTCATTCTGGATAAAGCAGGACAGTGGATGACACTCTCAGAAGCCTCTTCAGAGAAAACTATAACAAGCCCAAAATGGGGGACAGAAGAAGTGAACCAATTGCCTAGATTTTAATGAAATCCAGAAGATACTTTGGAAGAAGTAGAGAGGGTGTCTACAAGGCTTAACACTGAACCAGAATAAACCCTCTATTCTAGCTCACTCACCCCACCTACTCAGGGTAATGAAATGTAAATGCAAAAAAAAAAAAAAAAGACTGAAATCCTATTGGTTTATATTATATATAATGCTACCTTGGATTGTCCTTTGTCTTTATGTATGTGTTGTTATACTAATTAGATTGTAAGCTCCTTGAGGGCAGGGACTGTTTCTCCTTTGTCTTTGTAGCCTCACCCCTAGTACAGTGCCTTGCATACAATAGGCACTCAATAAATGTCTGTTGTTGATGAAGATCTTTTAAATGTCCACCCAATGGATTGAGGTACAAGAAAAACATTCTTCCATTTAAAGAAAACAAGTGATGCAACAAATTGTGGTATAGTTAAGTTTTAAGTGGGGTCTTACAGGGTCATTTCCTAAACCTATAACATTCTTAATCAACAGAACTGACCTAGATTTGGTAGGTTAATGTTGCTGCATTTATTAGGTTTGTTAATGCTGGCTGTACTGAACACACAGGCAAGTAATGTTCAGCAAGCTTTGTGTTTTCCCAGTTAGTGAACTGCACTCAGCACATATACACCATATACAGAAAGGCATAAAAGCAGCTTGGGCTTGGACTTCATTAGTGAAACTACAGAAGGAAGGCTAGAACAAGACAAAGATAGCTTGCCTTCAATTTGACAGTATCCTCAAGCAGCTGGAAAAATCCAACTGGTTGTTGTTGAGCATATCAAAATTAAGTACATTTATCTTTAAAAAACAAAATTCAGAAAAAAAAGTGCTGTTTCCATGAAGCATATTCAAAGTAGTTTTGTCACTACAAAAAAGTGAGGAAGAGGAAGAGTCCTGGGAAAATATATTTTCAGATGGAGCATCCCAGCCTCTGGAATCACCATGAGTTCAGTTCCCCCTAGG